TTATACTAACACAAGTCTTTATTGTCACAGGAAATGACAGTACTGAGCCTCCTCTAACTCCGCCAGTTTCACCGACGGATGATGTACCACAATCAATTAGAACATCAGAATCCAAGCCATTAATACCTGGAACAATGCCTTTGCCTCCACCACCACCRCTCACCCCTCCACCTGATAATAATAATGACACGGAAAAGTAAGTTGTTTTATCAAATTGTTCTTGATTTTTGATCGCATGTTGTCTAAAGGAAAAAAAAATAAAAGGACTACTTACAACTACGTACAAATCCTGTAGAAACCTATGAAAACTGTCTTCTACYTTATGTCAGCAGATCAAATCCCTTTACTGGAGTGGCTCTAAAAAAGACAGTTACAAATGATCGGTCAGCACCAAAGATTTGAATTCTCTACAATGCTTCACAGCTAATCAAGGGGTTAGCTTGGGTTCCCTGTGCTTTTACAAGCAAATCCATGATAAACCATTCAAGTTTGGATGAAAAATGATTAATATATTAATGCCATACCTTGTTGGTGGACATACGTTCATACTCAGAGAACAATTTATACAACACAAGAGAAGTTTTGTTCTGCAATGAAGCATTCATCACTGATCCTTAGTGGTTTTAGTTTGACAATGTTTTGAAATAGCTTTTGCAGGTGTGACTTGTAAATACAAGTATAGTCATGTATAGTAGTTATAACACATTAAACAATATGATGAAAATAGATATCAGAAAATATATAAAAGCTTTGCAGTTGTTTTTTGATGGTCATTTATAGCACACAAGACGATGTTAGATATTTCATGTTTAGAGAAAACTTATCCATTTCAGATACATCCAAGTTAATAATTTTAAGTTGGTTGATCTTGATTTTTACACAATTTTCTTCAATGGAGTTTTGCAATCTACAGGACAATAAACTATGCAATTGATAATCCTTATGCATACACACTATTATAGTAGATAGATATAATACTTATATAGTGGCTTCACTATGTGAGAGTAGATCCCATTACTGGTAGCAGCTGCAGCGGAAATGCTAGTACTTGAATTTATCAAATTTTGAATTACAGTGCAAAACTAATGGTATAAGCTTTGGAGGTAATTTAAATTGGGGGTTAGGCAGAGGGCTGTCAACTCTGGCTTCACCCCTGCTTTTTCAAAAAGTTGTCTTTAAGTATCTTCTTAATAGACCTACAAATGTCGATCACCCCTTGCCCTTGACAGGGCCTTAAGGAAAGGCTGCACTCTACCTTTATCAAATTGATTATTATTATATGTACAATAATTAATAATTAAAAATATTTTATTACAATGTATAGCAACTAGATAGACCATTGTATATTTAAGTGTGGATACCTAAAATCGTCAGCTGGTTTGAATACACAAATTAATGTATTAGTTTATCAGATAATAAATTAAATCAATATTTTGTTGAAATGAGGAGTAATATGTTTGATGTCTGAATTACCCTAAAGAAATTGAAAAAATAAATTAAAAAAACCCCGAAAGCATTGGTTCACTTTTTTACTTTTTAATTAAAACAAATTGTTCATGTGATTATAATTTACAAAAAAAGTTTAGAAGATTCCTGTGTACTGGAGTAACGAGAAGGACTGGGTCGAATTTTAGACAAAGTTTGTGCGCCATATTCAAATAGGATTTTTGCAGGGCAGATTTCACTGAAAMAATTCCTTCAAATCTTCAACGTAATGCTGCTGAAGTTAGCCCCAGAAGATATAATGGTGACTTATGTCTTGCAATGATTATATCTGAACAGTTTTGCTTTGGTTTACTGTCGTTATTATCGATTTGTGACATGGATCTTTGGTAGTCTTACAAGATGAAGAAACAAGCTGTGTGTRGCACAATAGTAAGATGATTGTCTAACATATAATTGCTATTGGGTGACTGTAGAACCGCATTGTCATTAGATTGTTATGCTTTAAGTTTATGATAAGCGAATGTTTCTGTCCATACGGTGTTTTAGCGTGTCGCTCTGTGCGAATTGTTTTGTGCCATCGCGCCTTTTGAAAAACTTCGAGGTTTGCAGGCCAAGGCCAATGTGTATCTGGGTGTTGATCCCGTAAATTTCATTCCGAGAATTATTTAGAAATGTAAGTGTTTAAGCTTTATTTTAGAGAATGTTTACAAACTAAGCTAATTTTAAATAGCAAAGTTAATTTGTAATATTGCTTATACTGTTTACAAATAAATATTTAGAAGAGAAGAAGTGCACTTTTTATGTAATCGCATCATTTTCTATGTCTTCTAGAAAAAGGACAACAACAACAAGGGAAAAGATTACAGAAGAAGAACCATCCATGGAGCCTTTTCAATACAAGATAGTRTGATTCCCAAAACACCTCAGCTAAATACAGCAAGGACTGTAAGAAAACCCCTACAGGTCGTGTCTGCATCTAAAAGTTCGTGTAATTTACTGTTTTCTGGAAATGAAGCAGCAAATCCCAGCGCTAAAAAAGATACAAAAGTCCTTGAATCWTTAGTAAAATTTAAAAGTAAACTATCATTTGTGTCTGGCAAGGAAAGTAGCAGYCGTAATAACAGTGCTGATGGACATGAATCTTCTAATGAACAAGATTATGCACCCTCTTATGCCATGGATTATCGAGAGAATTCTGAGCATTCATCAAATCTACATTCATTTGTATCAATGCGTAAAAGCAGGAAATTAGACTTTGTTGTGAAGGAATCAAACAAGTCAAATGAAACTAAACCTAAATCCCCACAACTAAACTCAGCTGATTTAGAAGATAATCAAAGCTTATATGTTCCTACAGAAAATAATAAACTTAAATCCCTGCAACCAAACTCGGCTGATTTAGAAGATAATCAAAGCTTATATGTTCCTACAGAAAATCATGATGACAAAATGCAAAGGAAGGAATTAATCAGTGAAGCAATGAATCATCCAGGAATGGACAGTGATTTGAAGTCCAATACTTTTAACTGTCATTCACCACCAAATACATCCAAACAAAGCAATACAAACACAGTTGAATCAAGGAATCATTTACAGTCATCAAATACATGTAACCCACATCATTTACAGTCGTCAAATACATGTAACTCACCACTTGATCTGAATATTAAGGACATTCATCAAACAACAGAAATGCCGTCAAAACAGACTTCACACAGTAGCATAGATACCGGTAGTAGGGATTTAAACCATGATTCTCCTTGTAATATGACAAGCTTGTCAAAACCTCTTGTACAGGTAGAATCAAATGATGACACAACAAGCAAACCCAGTTTGAAGACATTCAGAAGGTCAAAGAGTGGAACTTTGAGGAAATCTCTACAGGAAACAAGGATTTCAGCACTGAAGAATACAAAAAATCACACCTCATCAAAGAATAGTACTGCAAAACCTTCATTACCATCATCAMCAAAGCAAGGAGATGAACAACAGCTTCTTCTCAAAAGCCAGACAAGTAAAGACTGGATGCATTTGTTTGAGGAACCTTTTCCAAGAAGATCTCCAAGACTGAGAACAGTAAACAACAAAGAAGACTATGATAACTTATTAGAAAATCTCTCCCCATTAACATCACGTGAAAACAACAGAAAAAGAAAGACAACTAGAACGTCTAGAGGACTCAATTCAAAGAATGTTCACAATATAAATTCAAGGAATTTCCTTGTTAGAGATGAAGACATTTCTGTATCTACAAACAGCCAAAGCACACCAACRCTGGCAATGCCTAACACAACCACACCATACGTTGATACACCAACAATGGCAWTGCCTAACACAACCACACCATGTATTGGTACACCAACACTAAGAATGCTTAATGTAATCCCACCATGCAGTGATACACAAAGAAAGCGCAAATCTAGAGCAGGATTAAAAAGATCTAAGAATAGTACAGATTCTAGTCAAGAGTGCAATAAGAAGACAAAGGAAGATGGCGAAGAGGTGTCTAAAGACAATAATATTGACATAATAGATAATGAAGAAATTCACTTCCCTAAGCCTTCAAGAGATCTCACCAAACCAGGAGGACCATTTTATGCTGTGATAGACTTTTGTTTACCTGATAAAGACTTTGTGAAGCTTAAACTTGCTAAGATTAAGGGTGCACTGCACATCAACAAAATATCACCCTGTGAAATCATTCCACAAAACACCTTGTCACAACCAGCAATGAAACCAACCAATGAACCAACCAATGAACCAACCAATGAACCAGCTAATGAAAAGGTGAAACATTCATTGGATGCAGCAGGCTACATTGGAGAAAAGCAATCATGTTTACAAGAAATGACTGTTGTAACCAGTGATCCTTTAGAAGGTTTACATAGCAATTCTTACAGCTCAGATTCTATAATTGCTCCTGCTTTGAAGTGTTCCAGCACCCATGATGTAGAGTCACTAGATGGTGGCTTGACCAAGCTATCCAGTGATGTTGATAATAAAGTCTTTTCAGATTCTATTCTACAGCCATTGTATGGTACAAAGGTTCAGTCAGACGATGGTTGTGGTGATCTACAGCCATTGTATGGTACAAAGGTTCAGTCAGACGATGGTTGTGGTGATCTACAGCCATTGTATGGTACAAAGGTTCAGTCAGACGATGGTTGTGGTGATCTACAGCCATTGTATGGTACAAAGGTTCAGTCAGACGATGGTTGTGGTGATCTACAGCCATTGTATGGTACAAAGGTTCAGTCAGACGATGGTTGTGGTGAAACATCATCTAGTGATCAGACTTGTGACATTAGTGACTCACAGAGTTTGTCAGAATCAATTTTTGAACCACTCACAACCATCCAAAACACCCATGAAGAGAGCACTTTTAACAAGGCCAGTAATACTTGTAATGAACAGACTAAAAAGGTTCTCAAAGGCACAAGCAATGAGAATGTTGTAGTGAATGAAGAAGATGAATCAAGTGG